ACCCCCCCCCCCCCCCCCCGAGAGCACGAAAGAACGGTTCGCGGACCCCGTTCATTCGTGTCCAACGCACGTTTGAATGCGGATTGAACACGAATTGAACGCGCGTTTAATTTTTTAACGCGGACCCCGCGTTAAATCGAATTTCGGACACAAAGTTGGAAGGTACTGGTTAGTCCACATATCAATCAATTGTAAAGACCCAGCGACGTCATTAAGAAAAGAAAACACTCGCGCAACTCACAATCAATCCCTTTCAACACGAGAGAGAGAGAGGGCAAAAGAAGACACTTCCGCAGCTAGGTCATGCATATAACTAAGGAACCGATCCGCGGCTCAGGTTTAGTGAGCCAGCGCGATGTTGATCCCATGAGCCTTGTTTCTCAAGGCCGCCCCGTAGCTCGGCTGCTGATGTCGTGCAGCATAAGGCAGATGGCATGCGCAGTACATTCAGATCTACTGATCTAAACACTCTTGCATTCTCGAACAAAATTCCGACGATAATCGTCTAATCAACGCAAAAAGAAGGGGGTCACACATCTCCATACATACATCCATTGTGGAAGGTGCGAAAAATGAGCCATGCACAGGAAAAGATGGATCGCTTGCACAGTACACACGCATCCACCGTTCACAAGAGAAGAAGACAGGGTCCTCGCGTAGGAGGATTACCCAGGAAACTAATGGAAGAGTTCCGGAAGAAGTTCTTTCACGCAAGAGAAGCATACAGATTCATGCTTATCCAAGAAGAAAAAAGGGAGAGAAGGAGAGAAGCATCGAGACACATCATTATTCAAAGATAGAGGAGAAGGGGAAGGTGAGGGAGGAGAGTCGAGATAGGAGATGACGCAGCCCAAAAGAAGGAGGTTCAGCGTTGTCAGAGAAAAGGATCCACGACAACAAAGTCGCATTCGCCTTTAATCCAAATATGGCCCTGGGCCAATCACTCACTCAACTCCACTCATCGATCCTCATACCCGCACCGACGATCCTGGCCGCCACGTGCTGACTCCCACCACTGCGATCGTCACCCCGCTGTCGTAAACTCGACACGGTTCGCCCAGATCCCACGGTCCGTCGTGGCGATCTAGCGCGCAACCGGCCAGCCTATCGTCAACCCGACAGGACTTTCCGACTCGCACCAAACACTCTGCCTAGCCACTGCTTCCCGGAAGCTGGCTTGAGAGTCGAGAACGTAAGAGAGATTTGCGGACGAGCTTGCGGGTTTTATACTTGAGACAAGGGAGATAGAAGGGGGAGAAAGCGACGGAAAAGCTGTGTAAGAGGAGAAGCAGGAGGAGAAGACCTTGAGAAGAGTGTTCTACGAACGCCATGTTGATCCCTCGAAACTCAAGGTTCAACCAATCAGATTCGTCGCGCAATAGGAAGGTCCTATTGATCCATGCACCTGATTGGCGAGCAGGAGTTATCGATGGATCGACCGGGCGTTGTGCGCCAGATTCAGAGGCTGGGAAGAGAAAAGGCGTGAGAAATAGCGCAAGACGGGTCCAAGATTCAGATGATCAAGAAAGGGAAATGGGCGAGCAAAAAAGCAAGGCGAGAGAGAGAGAGAGAGAGAAAGAAAACAGTTACGGGGAGAGAGAAAGAGGAGGGAGAAGGGGAAGGGAACGCGGGAGGGAGCGATGCGGGGGACAGAGAGGAGAAGGCTTTGCATACGCGGCGCCGTCAACAAAAAGAGAGAAAAAAGGCACCGAAAGAGTTACAACTTGCTTCTGTCCTAATTCAAAAGTGAAATCACCATATCCGCGCATGAAAAAGCGACGCATGAAAAGAAAATCCTACCCCTATTCGTATTCGCACAAAATTCCAAGAGTTTTCCCCGACGCGACCGAGAACATTCACACACATGAAAAGGACACATCGAAGTTTCGCTTATCCCGGAATTCCAAACTGTCGAGCCCAATTCCCAGTGCTCTCGCTAAGGCACACGTAATTTCCTATGTATTTCCCGACTTGCAAAAAGAAAAAACAGAACCTGAAAATCGAAAAAGTTTCCTGAAGATGAGGGTCAAAAAGAAATGCGGCATCTGAAAACAAGAAAACGAAACGGGGTTTTTCTTGGGTTGGTATGATACAAGCAAAAGAAGGGGTACGAAAGATAGCACGGGTTCGGAAAGTAGTTCGTCACATAGCAGATATTCTGCCAATTTTACCCACATTTTGCCTTCATTATCGAACATTGCCTTGATCGACCATCTCACCAACAGTGCATTATTTTGCTGTTTAGGATCCACAATTCCCAATTCCCCTTCCGATCTTGGTTGAGTGACAATCTCCCAGGCCACTTTGGGCAAGAAGCCTTCATCCTCCTTAGCTTACGGTTTCCACAGATAACGTGATGCCGCCTTGCAAATATTCTTATACGCTGTTTCACTTAGTGCGTGAATCACCAGTGGGTACCACAAGATGGAAAGTGCCTCGGCAGAGAGGACCAACGCTCTCCCAAATAGGGAGAGGTGATGACCTCTCTCCCATTGGGCTATTCTGGCCACCACCTTAGTCTCCAACAGCGTATCTTGAGCTTATCTTGCATTACCCAGAGAGACCTGAACTCCCAGTAATCTGGAGGACCCTCTTTGAGGTGGTCTCAAATGACCTTCAGAATTTTTTTTCCCCATCTTACCTTATTGCAGAAAAATCATCGACCAAAAAAACAGCCTGCCAAAAAACGACAAAAAATATGGCAATGTATCTATCTATATTCAAGCGGTGGATTCAGTCTCATTTCGCACATTTGGAGAGTAGTGCAGTGAGGCCCATGTACGTTGTCAAACCACTAGTACCACCGCCAGTGTTGGGAAATTAGGGAAAAGTGGACGTTTTCCCATTTTCTCCAAAGACTTCGAAGGAACCAGAGGCCCGACATCCAAACATTTCCCCAAATAAATTTATTATTTTTTCCCGTTTTGTTCTGGTAGGCGGCCAAGGCCGGGTCCACATTTGGTCCGCCGATTGCACGCGGCAAGTGGAAACGGTATCGGGTCCTGCCGGGGACGGTCTGCAGTGGCTTGTCGGGCGTCCAACGGCGGGCGGTCGTCCGTCCTGGCTGTGTAACTCACCGTACGAATACAGTCCGTCCGTACGGCGCATACGGCCCTACGTACGGACTCCCCGACGGTCGTACGGGCCGTACGTACGGCCGTACGAGCCGTTTCGGCGGTCTTCCAGACTCCAGAGGGGGGGTCTGACATCTGAGGGGGTGGGTGGGGTGTGCATGTCGGGGGCTAGGCCCCCGAAGTGAAAAAAATTAAAAAAAAAATGTTAGTTTGGGAGGTGGGGTGGGCGGTGGTGGGTGGGCTTTCAGAATTTTTTTAGGGGGTCAGGGCATGTGGGTTCGGGGTGGGGATAGGCGATCTGGGGAGGGGCCTTCCCCAGCAACTGATAAAAAAATGGAAAAAAAAAAAAAAACGTCCAGGTGTTGGCACAGGTGGTGGTGGTGGTGGGGGGGTGATAGGTGGGGTTG